GAAAACTCGATACCCTGCAATTAACTCGCCGTTTCTGCATTTGTTTCATCCGCAAAAAAGTAGAAATAACAACGGTAGATAGGATTTGGCCGTAGATCGCTACCTCACAGAATATTCCTTGTCGATTTGCCACTCAAAACTTCCAGAATCTCTGGACTACATTTGGCTTTTCTCTCCATTGTTTTCATGCCTATAAATAGGAGTCGTGTTCACCATTATTAAACGAAGAAATCAAGAACAAATCGAGTACCTGATCTTCGCCGCGCGAAGTGAGTGCATTATGAATTATTCAACTTCCATCTTTCTTGATTGTGTTTTAACTTTGTTGATTTAATATATAAATTAAAATATCATTGTATGCGTGTGAATTTTGACGATCGTGAAAATTTGTGCAGGCTGCGGGATTTCGGGCAATAACTGCAGGGAATTCAAAATCGTACGTCGATTTGAACGAGATTGGAATTGGAGGATGCTAAAGAGTTGGGGAGTCATATTATCTACAAATATAAATACTAGTTTGGTAGAAATCTTCTGATGTATAGAGAACATTAGATTTTTTCTTTCTTTTGTGACTACAAATGTTTAATAAATAATTTATTGGTAAATTACGGCCACCTCTGAGGTAATGTCAAATTACGAAAACACCCTTCATGTTTGGGTAATTATAAACACCCCTCAACTATGAATTTTGTTACGTATCCACCCAAGGATGTTAAATTCAACTAAATCTTCTATATTTCGTGAAATGTTCTCTAGTTTGTACTAGTTTTGTAAAATGCAGATTCTCATGAACCACAATCTGATATTTACAAGTCAAGAGACACATATCGGCTTGTTTCAAAATATGGAGCTCGAATAGGGTAAAACGGGTACAAACTTTAGAATTTCCACATAATCTAAAAACCTCACTAAATTTGACACACAAGGATGGACATGTAAGAAAATTCATAGTTGATGAGTGATTGTAATTAGTCAAACATAAGGGGTTTTTTTTCTTCATAATTTGACCTCACCTCAGAGGAGTAGCCGTAATTTACTCATAATTTATTTTGTATATTAACTTTTAGTAAAAAAGAACTTACTAGTCCTTCATAAAATTGTTTACAATATTTCAATTAAGTTGCTTGAGACTTCATTCCACTAGGGCCACACTAAGACGATTTGGGGGGGATCGATGCAATCGACAGTAAAAGGGGGGAAGGGGAAGGGGAAAGTGGAATTTTCCACTAATCAATGCACGATACATAGGTAAGGTATGCATCGAGCGGTTTGTGTGTACGTCCGTTGCCTAAGACAACTGTCCTAATTTTCCACTAATCAATGCACGATACATAGGCGAGGTACGTGTTGAGCAGTTTTTTTATTTTTTTTGTTGGCTAAACACCTTTATTATTTATTGCGAAATGAATGTCTAGTGTGTGTCGATGCATTAAGAAAATCATATGAATTATGCTCTGGCTATAATTTATGAAAGCAAAAAAGGATAGTCCATGAGTTATTATGCTTTAGTTTATAAGTATTTATAATTAATCGACTCGTTGAATTTTCACAATCAATAATGAGGTATTCGTATTATCTTGACAATCAATTTTGAGACTATTTTCCACAATCAATTGTGAGGCTATTTTAGAGCCGTAAATGCACTATGAATCATGGAAATAGTGTGGGTTTTTTCGTGCGTATTTGTTCTTTTGTTAGATGTAATTTTGTAGTTATCGATGCTCGATACTGTTGAGCCTGGCTAAGACAGCTTTCCTAATTTTACAAATTTGCACCAATCAATACACGACACATAGTTGATGCACAAATCAATGCACGAGCAATTTGTGCCAACTGTCTTAATTTTGCACTATCTTTTTTTTCATTGGAATTAATTTCATAGCTATCCATTGTCGATACCATCGATGCTGACAATGACAAATGGCGTCATTTTTGCACCACGCGCAAGCGATGCGTGACGCGTAGGTGAAATACGTGTCCGCCTTTGTGTGGTGCATGAGTTGTATTCGCCAGCTGTCCTGTATGAAACCCCTATAAATACCGGCCTATGTTGCCTTCATTCTCCAGACACAACACAAGAGTACTTATAATAGAGCCATAGAGAGATCTGCTCATGTTTTCTGCTTGAAAATTTCTCTTGTGAGAAGTTTTATTTTGATTTATGAGCAGTTTTCTCAATTACCGATGATTGTTTATAGCTAAACAAACTCATCAATGCACGATATATAGGTAAGGTACGCGTCGAGCGGTTTGTGTTTACGTGATACATAGGTAAAGTAAGCGTCGAGCGGTTTATGTGTACGTGCGTTGGCTAACACAACTGTCCTAATTTTCCACCAATCAATGCACGACACATAGGCGAGGTACGTGTTGAGCGGTTTTTTTATTTTTTTGTTGGCTAAACATCTTTATTATTTATTGTGAAATGAATGTCTAGTATGTGTGGTGATGCATTAAAAAAATCACATCAATTATGCTCTGGCTGTAATTTATGAAAGCAAAAAAGGATAGTTCATGAGGCTATTTTAGAGCTATTAGTTACTGCAATGCACGTGCCATGCACTATGAATTATAGGAATACTCTGGGTTTTTCGTGCGTATTTATTCTTTTGTTAGACTTAATTTCGTAGTTATCGATGCTCGATACTGTTGTGGTCGGCTAGGACAACTTTCCTAATTTTAAAATTTTGCACCAATCAATACACGACACATATTTGATGCACAAATCAATGCACGAGCAGTTTGTGCCATCTCTCATAATTTTGCACTATCATTTTTTGCATCGAAATTAATATCATAGCTATCCATAGCCGATACCATCGAGGCTGACTATGACAAATGGCGTCATTTTTGCACCACGCACCAGCCGATGCGTGACGCGTAGGTGAAATACATGTCCGCCTTTCATTGGCGCATGAGCTGTATTCGCCAGTTGTCCTGTATGAAATCCCTATAAATACCGGCCTATGTTGCTTCATTCTCCACACACAACACAAGAGTTCTTATAGAGAGATCTGCTCATGTTTTCTGCTTGTAAATTTCTCATGTGGGAAATTTTATTTTGATTCATGAGCAGTTTTCTCGGTTACCGATGATTGTTTATAGGTAACCAAATTCATCAATATTTTTCTTTCATTGTTTTATTGTTTTATGCAAGGTTTTACCTTCAAAATTCATTAATTTATAGATCTTAAAAGGGGACAACCATGGATGGAAATCGAAACAAGATTCCCTAGTTATGCACGATTTCGATTCGGAAATTTCTTTTTTTGAAAAGATTTTTTCATTTGATTTCCGAAATTTCGATCTCAGATCTGATTTAATTTTCGATTTTTTTTTTAAAAATTGTGTTTTTTTTTTCTTCTAAAAAGTATATTTGTAATATTAGTATTATTACGTATTTATATGATATACTTTAAATATAATGTATGCTATAAAATAATTATATTGACTTTAGAAAAAATCATTCATCCGTCGAAATGCTTCGTTTTTGTAGATATACACGATTTTAGCCAAGTTTTATTCTTTTTTTTTTTTTTTTTTTTGTTATTATTGTCATATTTAATAGAATATAGTGGTCATGAAAATAAATATTAGTGCATCTAAAATGCTTTTATTTCAGTTTCTTCTGGCAGGAAAAAAAAGAACAAAATTCTTCACATGTCGATCGAGAATTCCGATTCTCAAGAGTCCACAAATTGGAATGCCCGTTTACGGAGACATTTGACCAAGTCAACGACGAAGGCTACAACTGCTAGCCACTCTAAAGAAAAAGAGAAAAAAACCCGAATATTCAACCTTCGTATCACCACCGGAGTATCTCGGATACATCCGGTGGGAGTACGGCAACGATGACATCAGCATGATGACGTGGAGGGCCATCGCATGGAATCTAGATACTCGTCCATCGAGCGATGGAGAGAGCTATCTAGATGACGTGGCGGGGGTGCTCCTTGAATACTCTCGAAACAATGACTTTACGCGGAGCATTTCTATCATGGAAATGCTTCGGTCGATAACAGTTAATGGAGGGCTTGCTTAATCCTCCGTTAATCATCGGAAATGGAATTGACGAAAATGTCCCTGGTCTCTTGGTTTGGAGATGGAAGAATACAATAGCAGCACCATCCAGACAAGATTGGGCAGAAGGAGGAAACGTATTACGTACGGCTTCCCTAGAATGCCGTTAATCGTTTTGCTCGATTTTTTTTTTAAATTTTCGATGTTGAATAGAAGAGAAGATAAAATTGGTAAATTTTGCAGGAGAAGTAGTGCTCGTGTTTATTTGGAAATTAGTCGTACGAGTATTTCGGTTTTGTAAATGCTATATTTGGTGATATATTGTCGTGTAAAATTCGTATTCAATACGTAGAAGTGTACATGATTTTTTTTTTTTTTTTATTGGAGTTGGTACTTGAAAAATATTATATGTTTATCTAAGATTAATGAATTGGAAGAGTTGTATTTGTATATATATATATATATACTTTTTTGTAAAGAATATAAATTATTAAATTGGGAAAGTTAAATATATTTCTTGCACCAACTTACCACCTCCGGAACCAGTTGAGCTACACCCATGAGGCAACAGTTAAATATATTTCTAGATTCATGGTACCAAAATACAAATGTAATGTGTTTGAATTTTGATGATTAATATTGGATTTTTTAATTAATTTTAAAATAATTCATAAAAACTGAAAATTAAAATTAAGAAAAAAAAGAAAACGAGTAAAAAGACCAAAATGCCCACACAATGCAGAAATACTCAGTCACAATATTCCTTATGATCGCTCGAGTGGCCACTGGCCACCGTCTATGGAGCGCAACCGGAGTAGAAATCCTCGTCATCCAGTGGCGCCGCCATATTCGGAGAGCTTGTCTGGAGCTCGTCGATTGGCTCAATGTGTGCTAGCTCGCTAGCTATAGCTTTAATTTGAAAGACTTGGTCGAATACATATTTCGATGATATTGGCATATCTTCGATGAGATTAACTGACTATTGATTGATTAGTTGCTAGTGAAAGTTGATTAATACTAAATATAATACTCCGTGCAATGAATTCGGCTGAATATCATCGTTCTTCGTATATTATTACCCATTGAGTATGATGAAATGGCTTAATAACTATTGATTAATGTGGTCGGAAATGCGAACGTGTATTATAATAAGATGGAGACTTATCGGAGTTATTTTCATATATGTTAGTAAATTATATGTGGTCGTTTTTAGAATTTAGAATTTGTTTTTTTTTTTGTTAGCATGTAGGCTAATGGATATCCACTCTATAGTTTTCTCTGAAGACTTAATGCTACGAATGCCTAATATGTGCCGATGCATTAAAAGTTCGTAACCGTATCCATTGGCTATAATTTATGAAAACAACAAAAACGATAGTCCATGCCCTCGTAATGCTTTACTTTATAAACATTTAAAATCAATTGGCTTTTTAATTTTTCTTGAAAGTCAATGTTGAGGTATTCGTATTGGAGTGTCGATAACCTAGAATTTCTAATTTCTGTGTGCCGAGGGTGATTTCGGTACACCGAAGAGTGGAAAGGTAATGTTAGGTGTGGAAAGGTAGCCAAGGAGCGTAAAAATAGTTGTTAGACTGTGCGATAATCGTGCCTTGCGTAATAAATTCAGGCATATCCGTTACTTTTTGTTGGATTTAAATTTTCGATACTGTCAAGGCCTGGTAAGGACAGCTGTCTCATTTTTGCGCCAATAGACGCACGACACGTAGGCGAGCTACGCGTCGGGCAGTTTGTGGAGCACATGCGCTGGCCGATACAGCTGTCCCATTTTTGCGCCAATTGACGCACGACACGTAGGTGAGCTACGCGTCGGGCAGTTTGTGGAGCGCATGCGCTGGCTGATCCAGCTGTCCCAATCAATGCGTGACACGTAGGCACCCGTGCGTGTCGGGTGGTTGGTGGACTGCATGCGCTGGATTTGACAGCTGTCCTAATCAACGCATGACACGTCGGCACCCCTACGCGTCGGACGGTCGGTGGACTGCATGCGCTGGATTTGACAGCTGTCCTGTATCAAACGCCTATAAAAACCGGCCTAGAACAGCCTTCATTCTCCACACAAACAAGAGTTCTTCTAATAGAGGGATCTGCTTCTCTTTTCTCTGCTAGTAATTTTCTTTCGTTGGAAGTTTTATTTCGATTCGTTGGCATTTTTTCTTGGTTGCCGATGATTGTTTGAAGGTCTGGAACCAAACTCTTCAGTTATTTTCGTAGTAATTTTTTTGTTTGTTATAAAATTAAGGAATTTCACAATTGATCTGCTCCAATTCTGATTGGATTTTCTTGAAATTTCCTTGTTTTGCAGGGGTAAAGATGGAAAGTTGATTTCGTCACACGAATGGAAAACGAGCAAGAAATCACCGTCGGGTGCACAGATCCTAGATCTGTTCCATGCACCCGATCTATTTTGCCTTGGGCAAGCTATACTAACAGGAATCACCACCTTCAGTTCAATCCTGTAAATCTCTACAAACTTCCTTAATTTTAGTTTTCCCTCGTTACAAAAAAAAAATTAAAGTTTTCATCAATGTTACATGTTTCCGATTACTGATTTGAATTTTCTTGTTTTTTGTTGTAGGAGGGTACTATGGATCCATTACGATTAAGATATACCGCTTGGTAACTTATCTGCATGTGGGCTGGAGGACGCGAAAGATTTGGGGATGTAGCTGGATCTCGGGTCTTACGAGGTGCCAGCTGTACTCCGTTACTCGTGCTCCTTCCATCCCTACCTCCCCCCTTTATATATCGGCGCGAATAATAACGACAACGGCGTTGAGTAGAGAGGAGATTTCGTGAGTTGTCGAATAGAAGAGAAGATAAAATGTATAGGGGAGGGGAATTTAGTGATACCCCTTTTAGTTTCTCCGGCCTCCTAGACTTTGTAGAGAGAGAAAATATTTATGTCTGCAAGCGCCAGGGTTGGAGTTAATGTTTGTTTATATTTTGAGAATTTTTTTTATCTTTGTGCGTAGAATTTCAGTTGTAAAATTATGCCGCTATAATATAGTAAGGGATGTGTAGTTTTTGGAGAGAAGAATTTGGAACGAAATACGAGACATTGTTTTCGTGTAGCAGTCGAGTCATAGAGAAATGTATCTTGAGAGAAGAATTTGGAACGAAGTATGAGACATTGTTTTCGTGTAGCAGTCAAATCATGTTTGAAAGTAATGGAATGAGTTGAATTGAGTGGAGTTTATACTTTATAGATAAGTACATATTTTGTTTTCACTTTTCTTATATAAGTTGTTATATTATATTATATATATGTATTTGCAAAGGTAAATCATTTCACTGTTTATTAGAAGGTAAATAAAAATGTATTGACATAATTACACAGTAGCAAAAATTAATAGAGCACTTTCAAATAAATAAATAAATATATATATATATATAAAGAAAATAGAATTGAAAGTATTCTACATTAATGAAATGATGAATGGGCAAGAAATAGATTAATCACCACATCCCAAAATTAAAATCACATTTCAAATGTTTTTTAACTTTTTTACCAAATTTATATAGCATAATGGATTTTTTTAATATGATGTCATATTAAAAGAAATCGAAAAAATCGAAATTAGAAATTTCCAATTTGGGAATTAAATAATTTATTGTAAAATCCGTAAATAATTGGTTGCAAAATCCACCGGACTTTGTAAAATGGCTTCCATTCTCATCCCTAGTTGTCCTCTAACAAAAAACCTGCATTTACGGACCCGGCCCACTAGAATCGATCGAGGCAGCACCACCGTCTTTCCGCGCGCTGCAGCCCAAATGGAATTGTCAGCCGCTGCGAAAGCAACCGCGGACTCAGCCAGCACCGGCAAAGGGACGGAGATCTCGGCGGCGGACACCGTCGTGCAGTACGTGGTGCTTCGGAGGGACTTAATCGATACCTGGTGTAACGAACTTAACCGCTTTTTGAACAATGCCGTACGACGTCGTTCCAACTTGAAGAAGTGTTATCGCCGTTTCTTTAAAACACGATTTTTCTTTTATTTCGGGTTTAGTAAACGCCGTCGTTTTGGTGCTGACTCTGCATGAACTCATGCGTTTTGCATGCACCAGTGCACCTACTATCTTCAGTTGTTGTCCCCTTGTTTCCTATAAAAGGGCAGACCAACTCTTGCTTTCTTCTTATGTTTTTTTATTCAGATTAATGTTAGGTTAGGTAAGGTAGAGTAGCTGGAGTTATCTTTTATCCGTTGTATATTGAGGAAAACCCTATTTTTTCTATTAATATTATACTGCCTTCACCTAATCTTTTGTCTTGTGAGAGTTTATGTTTTGTGTTGAGAAGGATTCATAACATTTGGTATCCAGAGCAAGGCTTTCCTGTTTATCCACGCCAACCATTGATGATGACAAGAAGCCATGTTCGTACAACCAGTGGAGAGAACATCAGAACAGAAGCCGAGATCTTTGTGGAAGAATGACAAGAAGCCACGCTTTCTTCAGTAGTAGCACGAAGTTGGCGGATGGAGCATGCGCGGGAGAGGCGAAGGGAGTGGTGGACGAGGCGGTGGCGGGGGGCTGTGGTGGTCGAGGCGGTAGCAGGGGGCTATGGTGGACAAGGCGGTGGCGAGGGGCTGTGGTGGTTGAGGTGGTGGCAGGGGGTTGTGGTGGTAGAGGCGGCGACATCGACTGTGGTTATGGTGCTGATTTTATTGAAAGCATATTTTTAATCATTTACATCTGATTTTCTTGATCTTTAAGAGATTTTTTTTATTTGGATTCAAACTGGCAAATCTAGGTTTCTCCAAAATCGGTAGGTGATTACAGTTGCGGTGGTTGTGCCTGTTGGCGGCTAAGATTTGACAGGTATTGCATTGACTGCTAGGGTTGGCGAGAATTGGGTGTTGTTGCCTGCTAGGGTTTCGAAATACAAGTAGTAGACCATAGTACACGGTAGTATATCATAGTACACTGTAGTATACCATAGCCTACTACTACAATATTGACAACAGATAAAATAAAAAAACAAAATTTAAAAAAATATGTAAATTGAATTAAAAAAAGAAAAACGTATTTTTTTCTTCAATATTATGTAAAAAATAATGTTTTTTTATAAAATTATAAAAAAAAGCTAAAAGGAAGAAAAGGAAAAAAACAGAAAGACAAGCGTGGTCTTTGTATAAAAAAAAAAGAGAAAAAAAAATGTTAGATGGAAAAATGAAAATATTGAATGCAGACTAAAAAATGATAAAGCAAGTTGAATTTTACTTTAGATTATGAATTTGTGAGTGTAGGGCTATTTTTGGAATGAATTTTATAAAGAAAGTGAAACAAATGTTTAGTTGGACTTGATACTTAGTTGTAATAAGTTTTCTCATCAGGGACCTATATTTTAAGTCCATTTATATTATCATTCAATTTTAAATCCTATCTGAAATAGAGCCCAAATCCATTACGTTTTAATTAAAAGACAATGATTAAGAAAAAAAATTGTTGGTAGAATTTTTTATTTTGCGTTTATAATAATAAGTCAAGATTATAAATGCAATATCGGTATTTAATTATTTTTCTAGTTTGTATACAATCAACATATACATTTAAATGTAATATATTTAGCCTACATGGATATACCTCAACTTGTTTCGAGGTTGTAAGTTGTTTTTCAAGTGTGCAAGGTGCGAAAACGCTCCATTTTGAAGGTGCAAGGATTAACCTTTATTAGTGGCAACAATTTAATTTAATAAAAAAAAATCTGTTATTTTGATTTGGTTGATGAAACAACAAATATTAAAATATTGTTGTGGCCCCTTGTAGATTTGACATTTTCATAATTTTATTATAGTTTGAATGATTTTCGTTATATCTTCTTATTTTTCCACATTATCACTTTTCCAATTCCCATTTGAACTATGCTTTCAATTTGCACATTGCAATGTTCTCGTGTTCGAAAATTGATAAATTCAGAAAAAAAATAAAAAAACATATATTGAAAATAAAAATCATATTTTCGAGATTAAAATAATAAAAATTATATCAAATTTAGTGAAAATAAGATAAAATGAAAAATCAATTCAAAATAATAGTACTATTAAACATATATATTAAAATAAAATAAATTATAATTACGAGGTGGTGTTACGAGACGGGGATTCGACGCGGTTATATATAGCAATACCCTTCCCGCCTCGTATCTAGTTTAAATTTTGTATTAATCCCCAAACATGTCCCACATTTTTTCATGTGCGGGACGAGACAGATACCCAATGGGTCGCGTCAAATTGTCATCCCTAACATTTTGAATGTTGCAAGTCTGACCTATTTAACTACAGGGTCATTAGCAACAACCCTCTAAATGGCTAAGTAATAGAACTAAATCCACCCATAAATTCATCATTTGCAACACCACTAACTTTTTTTTTTTTTACAAAAAGTACTCATCCCTTACACAAGTCAACATTTATCATTATTTATATTACATTTAGTTTTTTTTTATGCTTTTTTATTTATCTCGATAAGAGATAAGTTTACTATGTTGAATATGACTATAGTCGAATATGACGTATTCGACTACAACTGAGTATGACTATATTTGCCTATAGTCATATTCTTGCTTTGTATTATTGTTCTTACATTTTGAACTGTAAAATCACGATTATATAGTGTAATACATCATATTTACCAAATTATATAAAAACACGAATATCGCCTATTATTTACGGAAAAAAAAAAAAAAAAACCAATCAACATCCACAGAAAAAATCAAAATTTGAATCTTGTTACTACAAGTCAACTTGTAGCCACACAAATAGATCCAAAACATCACATGTATCAATTCTTCAAAGAAACAACATTTGCATGACAATACAGTAGAAAAAAATATGCAAATATTATATACGAATATGCACGATTACGTATGACTATATATGAGTACATAGCTGATTCTCTTCAATTGGACTATTATTTGCCCATCTTCTTCAACATCATCGACCCAAACAAAGGTTGCCCCATCAGATAACAAACTGAGAGATTGAGAGGAGATAGAGGAATAGAGAGAAGGATACTTTTGTTGGGGATCGCACACGTGTACGCAAAATTTTTTTTTATGCGAATTAAACGAATTTAAATCACATAATCACATGCCCGATATTTATTAAACAATTAATTGCGTACTTTTGCGCTTCCAGCGAAAATTAAAAAACGACAATCAAGCGAACTAATTTAATCGACAGTAAATCAATTAGCATGCTCGCAGTAAATCATCTAACATGCTTGCAGTAAATCATGAATTTCATATAAACACAAAATACATATTAATTCACGAAACATACTACGAACATGGATAATTTAATCTAATTAAATTAAAAACCTAACGAATACCTGATTCGAGAATTACCTCTTGAAGCGTGAGGTTGGCGCACGAATCGAAGCAAGACTGCCACATAAACCAATCCGTGCAGTCGGGGAGGGGCAAAGGCGAAGCAGCGGCGGCGGCGGCACGTGTGGATCACGCGCTGTCTTCGGGCGGCGCATGGGAGCGCGTGCGTCGTCGGATCGGGGCTGCTCCTCGGTTCTTCGAATCTTCGATCTTCCTCTTTTCGAATTTCACCTCGTATACTTCAATCTTCTAATTACATGGCACTAGACACGCAAAAGTTAGAATATACGGAAGAAAGGAAAAGAAGAAAAGAACTACCAAGACAATCGGCCAAAGAGGGGCCGATTCCGGCGGCGACGGCGGCGGTGGCCGTGGGTGAGATCGACCGAGAGAGAGAGACGAGCGGCTTGGGTTTGTAGATGTGTTGTGTGTTTGTGCAAGACCTATAAATCATGTATTTATAGTGTCTTGTATAAAAGCCCTAACGGGCTTAAGTTGGACCGGACCCAACAACTTAAGTTCGTTAGTTCTTTACTCGCTCGTTTCTCTCAATTCAATGACCGGAAAATGTCACGATTACATTTTCAGAATCATTATAATGTCCTCATTATTACGAGTGTCAATTCTCGATTTCCAACTTTCTAAAAGTGGAAACCCTAATTCACCGCACTTTCTAAATTTGGAAACTTCCCGATTTAGAAAACTCACTAAGATGTTCGCCTATTATTTCCCTTTTTCTTATCCTCATTCATAATTCCAAATTACGAATGTTGGACTCAATCATATTGACTTCCAATCATGCAAAGATAAAATATTTTTATCTCTGACCGTTTATTCAAAGATCTCGAGTGCACGAGCAGTGTGACCCTCGATGGTTCAGGTGTAAGCTAGCCGTGGGTCCACAACCTTTTGTGGTCAAAACTCGTCCCTTAGAGTTACGATTAAGGTGAAGCTCGTTTTACCTTAATCACCCAACGAATCAAGATTGACGTCTAGCAACTACGCGTCATGATTCCCTATATACAAATGAAGTACCTGCAAGAACCTTTTGATATTGTTAACGTACGGTACGATCCCTTCGATTCATATGTCCCGATTGAACTAGAGACATTGGTTCATCGAGACCTTCTTAGTAGTTCAATGACTGTGCGATCGTTCTAAGTATTGTAATCGGTACGTGCATGACTTAGAGAATCGAATTATCTAATCATCACTTAGTCAGCTCTGGCCAGAGACTTAGAGATTACAAACTATGAGAACACACAGGACATCCAAGACTATTCTAGCGATCGAATCCCCGACTACAATGCACAGACCTCCCACTAGATTTCAGACTACACGAACACTGGCCCTTGGTGCGGTCATCGGTGGGACTTAGGGACAGGTCACGATACAGCTGTTCCTCTAGTGAAGTCACGGTGATGTCTAGGTCATAAGGACTAATGGTGTACAACTATACCATAGATATCTCTACTCGATTATTGAGAACCACTTAGAGATTTCTAGGGTGAGGGAGTTCAGTGAACTCGTCAACTTACGAGCACCCACTTATGCATGCCGATATCACAATACCGTTTACTGATGAGATGCAGTAGACATACACTAAGTGCTAGTCTCTTAATGGGAAATGTCGATATCCTCATTGGTGGCGTAACCCTTCGACTAGGAACAGTTTAACAGTTATAATACAAAAGTAAATATCTCACGATCTTAAAGATCTATTACTAGTACTTGTAATAACTGTAAAGACTATATCTATGTTTGAGACAAAGGGACAAAGATATAGAATGCCAAGGTGTGTTTTTATCATTAATACAAAAAATAATTATTTATTACAAGAATAAATGGAAAGACCACAGCCACAAGTTGGCTTGTTGGTCACCTACTCTAACAACTTTAACCTTAGAACTCGGCGGCGACGGTAGTGCAAAGTACTCAACAATAGCGGTTGCCCGTTTAGATCTAAATATCGCAGCCCCACCATCCTCCATCGCCCCTCGCACCGTCGTCGCTTCACCACTGCTTGTCGATTTGCATCGCTTCTTCAACCACCACCATCGGATTCCCGTCACCGATGTCGCAATAGATCGAGAGGAGAGAAAAAAACTAGCATTTAACTTCCAATTGCCAAAATAAATCTGAATACGAATTGACATCACCATTTCATCATTTAGTCGCAAAGAAAACCCTAGTGCGCAAGAGGATAGTAATTCTCTCTATTCGAATTTGAAATCGAGGATCTAAGCCCACACAAACAAAACTTTGAACGAATGGATGACGAAGGTGAGATTTATGTGTGGACTCCACCGTCGCGAAGAGGGATTGATTTCACCAATAGACATTAGAGGTGGTGGTGGACGAGCGGCGACAGTAACAAAGAAAAAAAAGAGGGGAAATTAATAAATGGAAAGAGAGAACATGTATGTAACTGCTTCATTAAGGGTAATTACGTCAATTCACAAGCCTTGAGAGGTCTACTAATTAAAAATAAGATTTGAAATGTTGACAAAAATCTTTAAAATCAATTGAGTTTAATTCAATATAATTTTAATTTGAGGGTTATTGCATATTTCCCCTTTTAAGTGTAAATATTAGAAATGAGTTAAATGCAAATACACCCCCTGTGTTAATTCAAAAGACCAAAAAACCCCCCGGGATAAAAAAAGTGACAAAGACCCCCCTGAGAAGTGTTCAAACAAGCATACTCGACCCATTTTATTTTTATTTGTTGACCGCTCGTGAAAAGACGAATAAACCCTCGGATAACTCTGTCCAACCACAAAAATTTTATGACCCAAATGAAGTTGTTAAAATTTTCAATTCAGTCCCTAATACTTTCAATTATACCCTCTTCCCCAAATCAAAAAAAAAAACACACACACACACAAAAACACACACTTTATTTTTTAATTCTCTGCTCACCTCACTCACCCCACCCCACCACTGTCGTCACCGGCTCCATTCATGGGCTGAAACCTCTCTCCGGCAACCAAGCTTCTCAACCCCTAACAACAACAAATTTCCTCTCAACTCAAAATTTCTTACAAAATTATTCCAATAAAAAGAAAAATTCAAAATCATGATCCACAATTTCAACACCATTACACGTCGTCCCGCAACAATAAATCTTATTCTCTCCTAAACAAAACACTCACTTAATTCCAGATTTCTCCACCCATTTCTTCGGTTTCCCCAAAACCGAAGTTTACCTCCACTTATGCATTCCGGGTTTGCTATTGTCGTGGTTATTGTTTGAGATTTCCAGCGAACCGACGGCCTTGACAGAAGGGGAGATGGGTGGGGGTGGGGCATGATTGGGTTGGGAAGAAGACGATGGGTGGCTTTTTACGCCATTTTCATTGTTCTTCTTCTATCTGAATATGTTTAAACATAATTTATATATTTTTCATTTTATTTGTTTAAATTTAAATATTATTAAAAATTCATATTTGTATGCCATTTTTTTTTTCTTTTTTAATATGATTAAATATAATTTATATTTTTTCATTTTATTTGTTTAAATTTAAATATTATTAAAAATTCATGAGTAGTTTAATTGTTTCATGAGTGTTGATTCAGAGGGGTAATTTTGTCTTTTCACGCACAAAATGTACAAAAATCGCACAAGTAATCGCACACACAGCGAGTGAATGACACGCACAAAGATTAGGGGTATGTGGCTTTGATTATTGATTACAGGGGGCTTTTGTCACTTTTTTTATCCCAGGGGGTTTTTTGGTCTTTAGGATTAACACAGGGGGAGTTTTTGCATTTAACTCTATTAGAAATGTAAGCTTATGGGTATTCTGGAACAATATTTAATTTTGTTTAAATATTTGTAACCTCCCATACCGCCGCCTCCCGTCCGCCGCTGCAGCGTTCCAACTCGACGGATAACCAGTCCCATCCTCCATTAAAATCGATGGGCATTTAGCCTTCGAAGTTTCGGTAATTCGAGCCATGGACGAGGAGTTGGTGGCATCTGTGTCGAAATTACAACTTCCAGAAGCCTTTCTCGATTTTCTCAATCAAAACGGTTTGGATCCTTCTATTTATATTGCCTCTCACTCCACACCTCGTTATATTAGGTATACTTTCTTTCCAATCATCTTATTAACTTTGTGTGTGTGTGTGTGTGTGTGCGCTCGCGTTTCCCTATTTGATTTTGGGTGATAAATCAGATAGCTGCAAAATTTTATCCGCCCTGTTAATTTTTTCTGATGTTGTAATGGAGTTATTGTTTTAGTTATTTTTTATATTAGGAATGATTAATTCAATTTTATGTGAAAAGATTGTGATATATTTATTGTTTTGGCAATTTTATTGTAAGGTTAAAACCAGGATGTGAAAGTGAAACCCAGGTTGCAGAAATTGAAGCTGAGATTGAATTTAAGCTTAAAGAGTTGTGTTGGCTGCCCCACTTCTATTATCTTCCCCCCGACGTTCGAATTGCGAGCACACAGGCGTATCGCGATGGAAAGGTGACAAATGAAATTCTTTGTAGTTCGAATAAATGCATGTCGGGTTTTTGTTGTTTGACCTAACAGCATAGATGTTGGCGTCAATAGCAGTTTTCCTAAGACATTGTTTGTATTTTGAATTTGAGCAATGAAATTGAAAAAAAAATGGAGCAAGATAAATAAATGTAAAGAACAAAGAACCATTTTTCGTATTCGTTGCTAAAAATCTTGATCCAAACTTAGCATAAGCTACAGTTAAATCTGGTGTTTGTTTCACCCTGTCGTTTTTTTTTTTTTTAAACAAGACAAATATGTTTTCCAAAAGGTTTTATTTATTTATATTTATTTTGCTATTTAACTTGATTTCATCGTGTAGATCTATGGCATAGACGCAGCTTCGGGTGCTGCTGTTTCAGCTTTGAATATTTCACCCGGAGATCATGTACTTGACCTCTGTACAGCTCCTGGTTTGTGCTTCTTCATGCCGATATATATATATATATATATATATATATATATATATATATATATGTATATGTGTATATATATATATATATATATATATATATATATATATATATATATATATATATATATATATATATATATATAGATATATATAGAGATAGATAGAGATAGGGATATATATAGATATATAGATATATATATATATATATATATATATATATATATATATATATATATATATATATATATATATATATATATATATATATATATATACATATGTGTGTGTGTGTGTGTGTGGTGTGTGTGTGTGCATGTATGTGTATAATCTCTATAAATTAATTTTATCGGTTCATGTGTTTTGCAGGTGCTAAACTTTGTATGATACTGGACCTTCTTGGTTCGTCAGGTTCTGCCACAGGTGTCGATATTGCTAGACATAGGTTAGCAGCTTCTAGAACTTTGGTGCAGAAATATTCTCTCGGTGACCGTTGTCGTCTTTTTGTTGCCGATGGGACTACATTTTCTCTTATGCCACTAAGGCTTCAGTCAAGCTCTAAATCATGTAATGCATCTCCAAGATAATTCATTTACTTGCTTCTACTTCGTGGTCATATATTGTCTTGCCTGTATTATGATAGAAAAATCATTGTTCAGCAGGCAATGATACCGAAGTTGAAGAAAAAATCGAGATATACAATGAGTGGACCCCACGAAGACCATGGAAAGAACGCAAGAGGATGGCAAAAGCTAGGGAAATGGAGTCAGAAATTAAAGATCCAGAACTTATATTCTACGGGCGTCATTCTGGGGTCGTTGGTCTAAGTAAAGATGATGTGTACGGACACTTTGAAGATATTGACGTTTTGCAATTTGGTTACGACAAGGTACATCGAACTTTCATGTGTCCCTCTTTATTTATGGTTTGCTTTTCTTTTTTTTCTTTTTCCTTGCAAAGTATTTATTGTAGTTTGTGGTAAAATTATACGGAGTGATTGAAGTTTGAGTTCAGGTGCTTGTGGATGCAGAATGCACGCACGATGGTTCAATTAAACACATTCAGAAGTTTGAACAATGGGGTTGGACAACACTTTCACGCCGTGTACTTGATGCCTATAGGACTGATGACTTGACTGTTCTTCAGGTACACATACATTTTAACTTGGACGAATTGTTTCTTTCTAGAAGATGATGTATGATTCTGGTAACTTACCAATACTAGTATACCTTCATTTATCCTTTCCGTGAAATTCTGGAGTACGATTTGTTTGAGACATACATAAATATTATATCGAGGTAAAAAAAAAATTAAAATTGTTCGAACTTAGGACGCCTAACAGATCGCATCCTGTTTGTCCATGTTAATCATTCTGATTATTCCCGAAAAAAAAAATCAGTTGATAAAGCCGTTACTCCGATTTTTCTTTTCTTGGACTAGTTCCTAAATTTTGTGTGTTTCATTCAGTGAAGAAAAGGTTAATTTCACTGTTTCAGTTAAAATTGCTAACGAATGGATTCCGACTGCTCAAAGCCGGTGGTTGTCTTGTCTATAGCACCTGCAGGTATCTCTATCTGAAATTAACAAAGCCGGTGGTTTCATTTAAGTTACTGTTATTTGTATTTTATCTATATTCGTCTTGTTATCAACAGTTTGACGGTTGCTCAGAATGAAGATGTGGTAGAAAAGTTCCTTTCACAACAACCAACAGCTGGTATGTTTTCCTATGCTTTTACAAATTAGTCATTGGATGACGTGCCAAAAGCCCGGGTATAGAAAACCCGGGCATTACAGGTCGGTCGTGAAGTAAAATAAATATCATATGATTGTGCAAATGAATAATTGCAGAGTTGGTGGAGATAGAAGGTGCAGAGAAATGGCCTTGTAGGCAAGCAAGAATACCGATGACTCTCCGATTTGATCCGCAGACTTCATCAACTAGTGGTCTTTTTGTTGCCAAGTTCACAAAGTTGTCTGCTTCATCTTCCCTACATTATTTTTCCAGCTGAATACTCTTGTAACAAATAACATATTTTTGTGTTTCAACTTTTCCTTTGAGATAAACCTACTTTCTCAAGGCTTATTTCTATTAATTATATATTTTTAACCACAATTAATATAGGGAAAATTAGTAGCACCCCTCATTTGGGAAAATCATGTGAGGCGACCCCCTCTAAATAATAATTTGAGAAAATCTCTTCTATCTTTAAAACAACCCTCCTCACAAATTTAAATTGTACATTATACCCTTTTAGAATCCTAATTTTATTTTTCATTTTTCATTTCTCTTCTCTTTTTTTCCTTTGCTTTCTTCTAGTTCTCTTCTCTCTCCCTTTTTTTTTTCTACGGTACTCGGTCGAACTCCGATGGGTTGCGCCACCTCCAAGCTCGACAACTTACACGTCGTCGCTCTATGCGACCGCTGCTCTTTTCTCGACGAAGCCGTACGACAGTGTTTCGCCTTCGCCGAAACCCACGTTGCTTATCTCCTCTCTCTCAAAGCCTGGACCCTTTTTTAACCAAGCTCTCGACTCTTCTTTGCCTAGGCCCCATGATACGAACGAACCTCGTAGAATTTGTTACGCGGAAGCAAGATCGAAAACATCCAACAACAAAGATTCAAAGGGGTGGAACTGCGACCCGTTGCCTATAAAGAGGCAAGAACCTTGCTATGTGAAGACGCCACAATCGATTGTGAATGATCGATTGATAAGTCGGGGTGAACAAACGGAATCCACCGATATGTTCGAAGAGTTCTTAAAGAACCAAAGAGAATAATCTCATAACTTTATTAAAAATTCGTCCATTAAAATAGGCCAAATTGGCAACCTATTTATAAGATCTAAAAAGACTCATTTCTTCACAAGGAAAATGACTTCTACCTAAACTATAATAAGAAAATAAATAAATAAGCAAATCCTAACCATAAAAGACTCTAAAATAATAAAAACATAATAAAACATAAATTAAAAACGTGCATAATTAAATTAGATAACTTGATCTTCAAGTCGACTTCTCGATCACTCTTCTAAACTCGCGTAGACAATTGGCTGTGCACGTGCATGAACTTCATGCTCAATTACGACACTGTTACACTTCGAATCTCTCTCCGCTCAAAACACGAAAGTTGTAGAAATTCCCGTTGGCGTTCCGTAGCAATTTGAAACATCTGAATTGGACGTCATATGAGAGAGTTATAGCCCGAATGGTAAACTTTGCCAGAATCATACGAAACTTTCGGGATTCATGAAATTCGACTTGTCCAACGAATTATTCTTTTTCTTTTCTTCCAATTCCAAACCATAGACATCTCAAACATTTGATTTCAGCCTTTCTTCTCCAAGAAAAACTCGAATAGCCTCTTAAAACTCGTACGCTTGCGCTTCTTCCAATTCTTCATCTCTGAGCTTGTGTGGATCATATCACCCCACTTCCCGCGGTGTACATCGTTGATGGTGTGGGGGTGTGATGGAGTGGTGTGACGACGGTGTGGTGACGATTGTGAGCAGATCTAGGGTTTTTATGGGTAGACCGCGCAGGGTTTTTTTTGGATAGATCGCGCAGAGGACGGCGCGGACGGAGGAAATCTGTGTAGGTTAATCGACTACGTTTCAGTAGTCGATTAAGGTTTAATCGACTACTAAAACGTAGTCGAATAAGGTTAATCGACCACTTTTTTATTCATTTTTGGATTGGTGTTTATTAATTCCTTATTTCGACCTGGTAGTTGGACTTGGGGGCACAACGGTCGTGCGTTTTAGTTCTGCCATTGTCAATCCGTCATCTGATTTGTATGAAATCAATTACAATTATTGTATATTTGTGTTGTTTTGTAAAAAAATAGTTGATTTTGTTTTTTTGTTATTTTTTTAATGGTGTTGGGTTTCAATGACGTCATTAAGGTTGTTTTCATTACTTTTAGTAGTTAATTTCATTATTTAATTTCATTATTCAACAAAGATTATAGAAGTAGGTTCCTTATTCAACTACCCCTGACAACGAAAAAAACACCTGACAACGAAAAAAATGAAAAAGAAAAAAAAATAAATGAATTAATAAAAAAATTAATAAAATAAAAAAATAGAAAACAAAAATTAATTTAGTAAAGAAAAGGAAAGGAAAGGATAAATGGGATAAGAGAAGTGGGAATAGTATAGCGGAAGGACAATTTTGGGATTAGGAAGAAGGTGAAAAGAGTATGAGTCCATCCGAAAGAATAAAATATGAATTGGACTTTTCTCTTTATAATAAAAGGTTTGATGAGGTTTTCTCAAAATACCCAATTAATATATCGGAGTAGTACGTAGCAAACTTGCTATTCACTAATAAATTGAACGTGACTGCAACGAAAATGAACAAAATGGTTTTGAATCAATACCTAATGGATTGCATTACAGTTATCTCTATTTACAAGTGAATCAAATTGAAAGTTCTCTCATCTATCTATATAATATATAAATTTAAGCTCCATCCTTGGTCAAATGACTTAAATGATTTACATTTGCCAAATACTGGAATCGACATTTGGCACATATATGTGGCGTCCTAATAATTGTCACGTGTGTTTTTCGTTATATTTTCTTTTCATAACAAATCCGTTTTTTTAATTTAATTTTTATTTCAATTCTTATTTCATTTATGCTAATTTTTTTGAAATGGTTGGAATTTTTCTATATTAATTATTCTTTTTATCTTACCTATTTGGGTACTTTACAAATAAACCTATTAATAGGCACTTATTCATAAAGGGGTTCAAATAAAAAAATCTTTTACAAAAGAAATTCACATATTGTTCAGATGTTTGTAAAAGACTAAAATAACCCCTCACATTTTAATATGCTCCAGTTTCATCATTTAATTTAATTTTACCTCTTTTCACCCTAAATTTCACAAATTATTCAATTTTGACCTAAAACACAATTTTTTAGTACAATTATGTCCATCGCCGCCGCTGACTTTAGTTTTTCTTTCTGATTTTTTCGCCGGTTTTCAGCGTTGACTTTTTCGGTTTTTTTTTCTTTAACTTCCTTTTCCCCCGTTTAAACAACAACATTGCTATGGTTGACAGTAATATTAACTATGTTACTGTTAAACACAATAATATTAACTATACTACATTAACACAGTAATATTGCTATATTAATCTCTACCACAGTAATATTAACCCAACAAAAGTCATTATTATTGTGTAATAGAGTAATATTAATATGTTATCCGTTCAACAAATATAAACATAATAAAAAGTCAAAAGAATTATTAATGATGTGGTTGACAATAATATTTGTTAGAGTAGGTGACCAACAAGCCAACTGTGGTTGTGGTCTTTCACATTTCTTACGGTAATAAACGAACCTTTTTCCTATTAATGATAAAACACCTTCGCATTCTATATCTTTGTCCCTTTGTCACAAGCATAGATATAGTCCTTACAGTTATTACAAGTACTAGTAATTGATCGTTAGGATCGTGAGATATTTACCTAAGTATTATAACTGTTAAACGTGTTCCTAGTCGAAGGGTTACGCCACCAATGAGGATATCGGCCTTTCCCATTAAGAGACTAGCACTTAGTGTATGTGTACTGCATCTCATCAGTAAACGGTATTGTGATATCGGCATGCATAAGTGGGTGCTCGTAAGTTGACGAGTTCACTGAACTCCCTCACCCTAGAAATCTCTAAGTGGTTCCCAATAATCGAGTAGAGATATCTATGGTATAGTTGTACACCATTAGTCCTTATGACCTAGACATCACCGTGACTTCACTAGAGGACCAGCTGTATCGTGACCTGTCCCCGAGTTCCACCGAGGACCACCCCAAGGGCCATGTTCGTGCAGTCCGAAATCTAGTGGGAGGTCTGTGCATTGTAGTCGGGGATTCGATCTCTTGAATAGTCTTGGATGTCCTGTGTGTTCTTACAGTTTGTAATCTCTTTAAGTCTCTGGCTAGAGCTGACTGAGTGTTGATTAGAGAATTCGATTCTCTAAGTCATGCACGTAACGATTACAACACTTAGAACGATCGCACGGTCATTGAACAAATAAAGAGGTCTCGATGAACCAATGCCTCTAGTTCAATCGGGACATATGAATAGAAAGGATCGTACTGTACGCTAACTATATCAAAAGGTTCTTGCAGGCACTTCATTTGTATCTAGGGAATCATGATGCGTAGGTGCTAGACGCCAATCTTGATTCGTTGGGTGATTAAGGTGAAACGAGCTTCATCTTAATCGTAACTCTAAGGGACGAGTTTTTACCACAAAGGGTTGTGGGCCCACGGCTAGCTTACACCTGAACCATCGAGGGTCACACTGCTCGTGCACATGAGATCTTTGAATAAACGGTCAAAGGTAAAAATGGTTTATCTTTGCATGATTGGAAGTCAATATGATTGGGTCCAACATTCGTAATTTGGAATTATGAATGAGAATAAGAATAGGAAAAGAATAGGCGAACATCTTAGTTGACTTTCTAAATCGGGAAGTTTCCAAATTTAGAAAGTGCACTGAATTAGGGTTTCCACTTTTGGAAAGTTGGAAATCGAGAGTTGGCACTCGTAATGACGAGGACATTATAATGATTACGAAAATGTAATCGTTACAATTTTCCGATCATTGAATTGAGAGAAACGAGCGAATAAAAGAATAACGAACTTAAGTTGTTGGGCCCGGTCCAACTTAAGCCCGTTAGGGATTTTATGCAAGACACTATAAATACTTGATTTATAGGTCTTGCATAGAACATAACACACGAACTAAACCCTAGCCGCTCCCTCTCTTGATCGTCTATCTTCTCCCGCGGCCACCACCGCCGTCGCCGTCGCCGCCGCCAACTCGCCGGAATCGGCCTCCCCTTGGCCGATCCTTTTAGTAACTTTTTCCTCTTTTCTATTCTTCCGTTTTTCTAACTATTACGTGTCTAGTGCCACGTTCTACGTACTAGATCAAAGTAGACGAGGTGAAATCCGAGAGGAGGAAGATCGAAGATCGAAGAATCGAGGAGCAGCACACGAGCCGACGCCGCACGCAATCCCACGCGCTGCCTGAAGACAGCGCGTGAGCCACACCCGACACTATAGCTCGCCTAGCCGCTGCTGCCCCGGATTGCACG